TTCGTTTTGGTAGCAAAAGCGGATCCCTCAGATGGAGACAGTGGCAGTCTGCTTGGAAATGCGTGTCTTTTCGTAGCAGGTTCTCTCTTCACCCACGGGCGCTTCACACATTGATGTGACTGTTGCAGACAGGGGCGTTTGTGTGCTTGATTGTTGTTTTTTTCTCATTGTAATTACTGCGTAGCCAAACATACCTGTTCTGTCCCCCTGAGCTCACTCTCCTCAGGTGCTCAGTTCTCGACAAGGACAGAGTTTGAAACCATAAACAAAAAAGGAATTTTAATTGTATAGTGTTCCATCACTTTCTCATCATGGTCAACTGTGAATTTTGCACATATGGTAATTCCCTTGTTTGGATTTTTGGGGGTTTCTGCTGTTTCTTTGGGTTTTTTTTTTTTTAGTGGAGGACGTAAATTGGGTTGTTAGGTGCATCGTGTCCAAATTTGGTGTCAATTCCCCCAGCGATTTTTGAGTTCTGTGAATATCACAAACGAACATTACATTTTTATTTATATAGATATAACGTCCCTACATCGCGGTTTTTCACTTATCGCGGGTTGTCCTGGAATGTAACACCTGTGATAAATATAGGTTGCTTACCTGTAACCATAGTTTCCTGAGTAGTCACCTGTGAATTCGTACATATGGTAATTCCTGTGCCTGCGCAGAACAGCTTTTGGAACCTTCTCGAGAGTTATTAAACATTTTTAGTGGTAGCCCCGCCCACTCTCCCGTGAGTATAAATAGCCAGTCCCCACCCATCCTCCCCTCTTGTCATACCTCTTCCTTCTGGCTGTGTTTTGCAGCGGAAGAGAACTGGAGGCTGTAGCCCCTCCCACTAGCTATTTATACTAACAGGAGAGAGTGGGCGGGGCTACCGCCAAAAATGTTTAATGTTCCGAAAATGTTCCCTAGAATGTTCCGAAAGCTGTTCTGCGCAGGCGCAGGAATGACCATATGTGCGAATTCACAGTTGACTACTCAGGAAACTACGGTTACAGGTATATTTATCACAGGTCTAACGTTCCAGGACAACCCGCGATAAGTGAAAAACCGCGATGTTGGGATGTTATATCTATGTAAATAAAAACGTAATGTTCGTTTGTGATATTCACAGAACTCAAAAACCACTGGGGGAATTAACACCAAATTTGGACACGATACACCTAACAACCCAATTTATGTCCTCCACTCAACCCCCCAGCCCCAAAGAAACAGCAGAAACCCCAAAAATCCACGCAAGGGAAGAGCGGCCGTTACAGCATTGAGAGCCAAGCTCGTGCGCACGCACGACCATACAAACAGAACTGGCACAGCGAGCGGCACCGAGCTCCCTCTCTCACCGCTTGACCTGTTGGCCAACCAGCAGCAGGCTCCGCCCCTGGATCGACCAGGACCGGCTTCTCCACCTCGCCCCAACAGCCACGGAGCCCATGGACTCGCTGTTTTGCGGCTAGGGTTTAGAATATTAATTCTAAACCATAACCGCAAAACAGCGAATCCGTGGAAAGTGAACCGCAAAACAGCGAGTCCGCTGAAAGCGAACCACGAAACAGCGAGGGAACTCTGTATTGAAGTTCAGTGCCTTAACTCCTCCCAGGATCTGTCTATCAAACAAATACTTTGAAGGAACTGATGGAAACTCAGAACTTTAATATAGGATTGAATGGTATGTAGTGTCCTACTTCGAGCATTGACTGCTATTCGATACATTCAGTGAATAATACTTTTCTAAGCGGTCAGTGCTACAAGTAGGACACTAAATACCATTCAGTCCTATATTAGAGTTACAAAATGAATGCACTGAGTAGATGTGATAGCTAGAAGAGCGTTACAGGCGTAATAACATTCACTTCTAGAAGAGAGCTAGGCTAGTCGCTTCGGGTGTGAGAGAATTGGCAGTCTGCAAGGACGTTGCTCAGAGGACGCCTAGAAGTTTGATGTTTTCCCACCTTCTGTTACTTAGTTCTGTGTTAGAGTTATATACTGAATGCACTTTTATCATACTAGGAGCTACTTGAGATACTAAGTCACTTCTGTTGTGAGAGAATTGGCTGTCTGCAAGGACGTTGCCCAGGGAACGCCGTGATATTTGATGTTTTCTATCCTTATGTTATTCAGTCCTATGTTAGAGTTATATACTGAATTTTTTTTTTTCATACCAGGAGCTACTTGAGAAACTAAGTTGCTAATGGTGTGAGAGAATTGGCTGTCTGCAAGGACGTTGCCCAGAGGACGGCTGGATGTTTGGTGTTTTACCATCCTAGTGTCATTCAGAGTTATACATTGAATGCACATTTTTTCATACCAGGAACTACTTGAGAAAATAAGTTGCTTCTGGTGTGAGAGAATTGGCTGTCTGCAAGGACGTTGCCCAGGGGATGCCTGGATGTTTGATGTTTTCCATCCTAGTGTTTGATGTTTTTCCATCCTCTTTTATGTGTCCTTTGTCTGGCTTTGTGTTCCCTTAACACCACCGGTTGAGTCTCAGACTTGGTTTCTAGGGGTGTGTGAAATGACAGAAATTGGTTCTCTTTTCGTTTTGACCCCCACCCCCCACCGTTCTGTTTCTGGGAAAAATTCGAGATTTTCAGATTTGTGATTCGGAACCCTGAGTTTTTATTTGATCCATTGGCACCCCCCCCCCCCTTGTTTTGTTTTCGGGATTTTCAGATTCATAATTCGGAACCCTGAGTTCAGTTTTGTTTCAGAAAGATTTGATCCAATAGCACCCCCCTTGTTTTGTTTTCAGGAAAATTTCGGGATTTTTAGATTCGTAATTCGGAACCCTGAGTTCTGTTTTGTTTCGGTGTGATTTGGTCCATTAGCACCACCCTTGTCCTGTTTTCGGGAAAATTTTGGGATTTTCAGATTCGTAATTCGGAACCCTGAGTTCTGTTTTGTTTCGGTGTGGTTTGGTCCATTGGCACCCCCTTGTCCTGTTTTCGGGAAAATTCTGGGATTTTCAGATTCGTAATTCGGAACCCTGAGTATACACACACACGTATACATACACATACACATGGTGTTCCCTCACTACTTCACGCTTCACTTTTCGTGGACTCGCTGTTTGCGGGTTTTTCCAACGATGGAATTGAACCAAACTTGGCGCACAGTTCTCCCTTGACTAACAGAAAATACTGGAAGGGTTTGGTGGGCAGTGTCCTTCGGTTTTGGAGTTGTAGTTCACCTACATCCAGAGATCACTGTGGACTCAAACAATGATGGATCTGGACCAAACTACATGAATACTCAATATGCTCAAATGTGAACACTGGAAGAGTTTGGGGAAAATAGAATCTTGACATTTGGGAGTTGTAGTTGCTGGGATTTATAGTTCACCTACAATCACAGAGCATTCTGAACCCCACCAACGATAGAAGTGGGCCAAACCTCCCACACAGAACCCCCATGTGGGCCACAGCAACGCGTGGCAGGGGATGGCTTGTAAATAATAAATAAATAAATTCCTCGCTTCTTCCTCACCCTCAGAACTCAATGTACATATACAGCGTCCCTACTTTGCGGATTTTCACTTTTCGCGGGTGGTCCTGGAACATAACATAAATCCTACTTCGTGGATTTTTATTTTTCGCGGGTGGTCCTGGAACATAACACCCGCAATAAGCGAGGGAACTGTGTGTGTGTGTGTGTGTATACACAGTGTTACCTCACTTATTGTGGGTATTATATTTTTCACAGGTGGTCCTGGAACATAACATAAATCCTACTTTGTGAATTTTCGTTTTTTGCGGGTGGTCCTGGAACATAACACCTGCGATAAATGAGGTAACACTGTGTGTGTGTGTGTGTGTGTATACACATACATACATACATACATACATATACATGCATAGTGTTCCCACACTTATCGTGGGTATTATATTTTTCGCGGGTGGTCCTGGAACATAACGTAAATCCTACTTCGTGGATTTTCTTTTTTCGTGGGTGGTCCTGAACATAACACCTGCGATAAGGTAACACTGTGTGTGTGTGTGTGTGTGTGTGTGTGTGTGTGTGTGTGTATATATACACACACACACACACACAGTGTTCCCTCACTTATCGCTGGTATTATATTTTTTGTGGATGGTCCTGGAACATAACACCCGTGATAAGTGAGGGAGCACTTTGTGTGTGTATATATATATGTATGTATGTATGTGTATATATATATATACACACACACATACACAGTGTTACCTCACTTATTGCGGGTGTTATGTTCCAGGACCACCCGCGAAAAATGAAAATCCACGAAATAGGATTTATGTTATGTTCCAGGACCACCCACGAAAAATATAATACCCACGATAAGTGAGGGAACACTGTGTGTGTGTGTGTATATATATACACACACACAGTGTTCCCTCACTTATCGCAGGTGTTATGTTCCAGGACCACCTGCGAAAAACAAAAATCCATGAAGTAGGATTTATGTTATGTTCCAGGACCACCCGCAAAAAATGTAATACCCACGATAAGTGAGGGAACACTGTGTGTGTGTGTGTGTGTGCGCGTATATATATATATATAAACACACACACACACACACACACACAGAGTGTTACCTCACTTATCGCGGGTGTTATGTTCCAGGACCACCCGCGAAAAATATAATACCCATGATAAGTGAGGGAACACTGTGTGTGTGTGTGTATGTGTGTACATATATGTATATATACACACACACACTTTGTTACCTCACTTATCGTGGGTGTTATGTTCCAGGACCACCCGCGAAAAATGAAAATCCACAAAGGAAGACCTCAGTGTGTGTTGGCCTCCTTCTCCTCCTCCTCCCGTGCTAACCCTCCGCGCAGCTTACCCGTCCCTTTTCTCCTCCTTCCGAGATCTACTTTTCCCGCAAAAGTAAATCTGCTTTTTTGTCCTGAATGATGCTCTTTTGTGTCCGCTTTGTGTCTCTCTCACCCTCTATAACTAACCTGCCTCCTATTTTTTTCTTCCTCCTCCCCTCTGTCTGTCTTTTCCTGTTATAGAGAGGTCTGAAGAATGTGTTCGACGAGGCCATCCTAGCGGCCCTCGAGCCTCCGGAAACTCAACCCAAACGGAAATGCTGTATATTCTAAAACCGTTTCCTCTTCCTTCTTCTTTTCCCCCCTTCCTCCTTTCTTGTTGCTGCTGCCTGCCTCCTCTTCCCACTGCTGTAGAAAAACAAAACCAATAAAACCATCCCGACTGAAAGAAGCTGTGTCTTTTACTTCCAAACGTCTTAGAACAAACTCTGTATTAGCTTTTATTATTAATTATTATTTTGGATTGCAAGACTGCTTATATGATTCGTTACGGCGATTGTCACACGCTCGGAAATCCTGCCGACTACGCCAAATTTGTTTTCAGTGAGATCGCATATGTCCACTTTTTTAAACCTTCTGCTTTGTGGGTTGCTGGGTTTTTGAGTTAGAAGGTAATGAAGGAACGGAGAATCTCGTCTTCAATGACTTTTAAAGAAGTGACAATGATTTTTTCAAAAAATGGCCAAAGTTATGTGCAATTCTGGGTTGTTGTAGGTTTTTTTTTCGGGCTATATGGCCATGTTCTAGAGGCATTCTCTCCTGACGTTTCACCTGCATCTTTGGGAAGCATCCTCAGAGGTTGCGAGGTCTGTTGGAACTAGGAAAATTGGGTTTATATATATGTGGAATTTCCAGGGTGGGACAGAGAACTCTTGTCTGTTGGAAGTTCATTTGGAATTCAGAGTTGGAAGGAGTGTGAGAATAGCTAACAAGAGGGAGGTTAGAGGCCAAAGAAACGCCTTCCATGAATATTTCAACTGACCACCTTGATTAGCATTTGATGGCCTGGCAGTGCCTGGGGCAATCTTTTGTTGAGAGGTGATTAGCTGCCCCTGATTGTTTCCTCTCTGTAATTTTAGAGTTTTTTTAATAACGACAGAGAGGAAACAATCAGGGACTGCTCATCACCTCTCAACAAAAGATTCCCCCAGGCACTAACAAGCCACACCAAAAAACTGCCAGGCCATCAAATGCTAATTAAGGTGGTCATTTGAAACATTCAAATGACTCAGCTGGAACCACAAAGTGATAGTGCCAATGATTCTGATGAGGATGATGGGATTCAGGTTCACAGGTTCAAAATATCCCTGTGATAGACAATGACGAACAGGGTGAGGAAGTTCGGTTTCCCACAGCAAATAATGACATTGTTGACAATGAAACTAGCCAGCTGCAGGTTGATTCAGAAAGGGAGGACAGTTGTTCTCAGCCTGATAATGAGCGAGAAAGCACTAACGAACAGACTGACCTTGATGAAGCGGGAACCTTAGATCGAGCTGACCGTTTGGAATTCAGAGGTCGAAGGAGTGTGAGAATAGCTAACAAGAGGGAGGTTGGAGGCCAAAAAACGCCTTCATGTTTTGCAAAGGATATTTGCGAGCAAACTTGTGTCAGTGCAACTTCTCGTTTCAACCAAGGGACTTGGATTGTCTGGATTTACCCTGGTCATTCCACAGATTTGGAATTCAGAGTTCGAAGGAGTGTGAGAATAGCTAACAAGAGGGAGGTTGGAGGGCAAAGAAAGGCCTTCATGTTTTGCAAAGGATATTAAACAGAATGTTTGAGAGCAAACTTGTGTCAGTGCAACTTCTCGTTTCAACCAAGGGACTTGGATTTGTTCGTCTGGATTTACCCTGGTCATTCCACAGATTTGGAATTCAGAGTTCGAAGGAGTGTGAGAATATCTAACAAGAGGGAGGTTGGAGGCCAAAGAAACGCCTTCATGTTTTGCAAAGGATATTTGCGAGCAAACTTGTGTCAGTGCAACTTCTCGTTTCAAGCAAGGGACTTGAATTTGTTTGTCTGGATTTACCCTGGTCATTCCACAGATTTGGAATTTAGAGTTCGAAGGAGTGTGAGAATAGCTAACAAGACGGAGGTTAGAGGCCAAAGAAATGCCTTCATGTTTTGCAAAGGATATTAAAAACCTACAACAACCCAGTGATTCCGGCCATGAAAGCCTTCGACAATACATATGTGCAATTCCTTTCTCTCTCTCTCTTTCTATCCCTCTCTTTTCTCTCCCGTGGCTCTGTTATAACTGTATTTGCATGACGATTGTACTCGATATGGTGATCCCGCAAGCGATGCTAAACCGGCGAAGGGTTCTCTGGTTTCCCCTCTGTGCAATTGAATGGGGCTTTGCTGTTGCTTTTGGCTGTTTGTGCTTTTAGTGGAGTATCTATTTGGTCCTCTTTTTGGGAGAAACGGAAGCTAGGTGTACCCGATACTGTACGTCCGACTCTTACATTTGGATTCGTTCCCACAGCTTTTTGTTTTTTTTGCAACTGTACCATGTAAAGCTTTCTCTTTTTTAATTTTTATTTAAAAAGGTCATTTTTTCTGACTTGGATTGACTGTCTGAAGGAAGATAAAAGACATAACAACTGTAGTCCTATCTTACATTTCAAAATTAAAATTAGTTGTTCGTATAAATGCCTGGCGAAGCATTATTCCTGTTTGCATTCTTTTGCTTCAGTTTTAACGTTGATGCACTATTAGCGTTGTATACAGAGGTGGCCCTAGGTAATGTTCAACGGTAAGCATACAACCAACCAATCATCGATATATATTTTCTGTTTGTCGTGGGAGTTCTGTGTGCCACAACCAACCAATCATTGATATATATTTTCTGTTTGTCGTGGGAGTTCTGTGTGCCATATTTGGTTCAGTTCCATCATTGGTGGAGTTCAGAATGCTCTTTGATTGTAGGTGAACTATACATCCCAGTAACTACACTTGCCGCACTTGCTCCCTTGCCTGGCCCGCTTTGGGTCCGGAGGCGTGCCTGAAGACCCCGGCGTGTGCACCAAAAGTCACCTCTTCTCCTGACTTTCTCCTCAGCCATTGGGACCGAGAGAGAGAGAGAGGTGGAGATGCCCACCTTTCCTGAAGGTAGGCGCAAAAACAAAGGAGGGAGCGGAGGTGGGAGATACCTCCAGCCGGAGGGGCTCTCTCTCTCTCTCTCTCTTGGTCCCAATGGCTGAAGAGAAAGTCAGGAGAAGAGGCGACTTTTGGTGCGCACGCTGGGGTCTTCAGACACGCCTCCGGACCCGAAGCGGGCCAGGCGCGGCGGCTCCGCCCCTTGGCCCACCCGCGGATTGGGGAGAGGAGAGGAGGCGGGTGGAGCGGGGGATCGGGAAAGGAAGCCGGCCATGGGGAAGGGATCGAACGCGGAGAACGATTGAGCGCCAGCTCTGCTCGCATACTTGTTGGCCAGGTGGAGCAGGAACGAGAGGGGCTAGGCGAGGCTCAAGGGCCCGGCCCCTTTGGGAAGAGGATCGCCCGGCAGCGAGGCAAGAAAGCCGAGGCTCCCCCCGGACTGCTAGGGCTGAGGGGGCGCTCCTCAAGTGGAGGTCGAGGGGCATTTACAGAGGCGCCTCTGCGCCCCTGACAAAAAAAAGTGTTCTGCGACTGCTTACTTTGCGTAATGGACGAGCCGCCCCTGGTTGTATATCCCCAGAATTGCGCGGGGAAATGCCTTTCCTTGTGGCTCTTCCTTTCCCTCTTCCATTTCTTCCTTCCCAATTTTCCTCCTTTCCTTCTTCTCCATCTCCTTTCTTTCCCTTCTTTTCTCTCTTCTTCTTTCCTTCCTTTTCTCTCACTGCTTTCCTTCCTTTTTCATTCCCTTCTTTTTTCCTTTCCTTTCTCTTCTATTTTTATTCCTTTCCTTCTTTCTTTCCTTCCTTTTCCTTGCATTCCCTTCTTTTTCTCGCCTTCTTTCCTTCCTTCCCTTTTCCTCCTTTTTTCCTTTCCTTTCTCTTCTCCCATTTTACCCCTTTCTTTCTTCCTTTCCATCTCCTCTCTTTCCCTTCCTTTCTCTCTCCATCTTTCCTTCCCTTTCCCTTGCTTCTTTCATTCCTTGTTTTTGGTTCCCTTCTTTTTTCCTTTCCTTTCCTTTCCTTTCTCTTCTCCTATTTTTCTTCCTTTTCTTCTTTCTTTTTATTCCTTTCCTTCTTTCTTTCCTTTTTCCTTTCATTCCCTTCTTTTTCTCACCTTCTTTCCTTCCTTCCTTCATTCCTTTCTCTTCCCTTTCTTTTTTGCTTTTTCTTCTATTTTTATTCCCTTTCTTCTTTCTTTCCTTCTCCTTTCATTCCCTTCTTTTTCTCTTTTTTTCCTTTCTTCATTTTTTCATTCCTTCCTTTCTTTTCCCTTTGTTGTTCCTTTCCTTTCTCTTCTCCTATTTTCATTCCTTTCCTTCTTTCTTTCCCTTCTTTTTCTCATCTTTCTTTACTTCTGTCCCCTTCTTTCTTTCTTTCATTCCTTCCTTCCCCTCTTCTTTTTTCCTCTCCTTTCTCTTCTCCTATTTTTATTCCTTCTTCCTTTCCTTCTACTTTCTTCTTTTCATCTCCTTTCTTCTTTTATTCCTTCCTTTCTCTTTCCTGCTTTATTCCTTTCCTTCTTTCCTTCCTTCTTCCTTTCTTTTCCTTCTTTTTCTCACCTTCTTTCCTTTCGTCCCCTTCTTTCATTCCTTCATTCCTTTCCCCTTCTTTTTCCTTTCCTTTCTCCTCTATTTTTATTCCTTTTCTTCTTCCCTTTCCTCTCCTTCTTTCCCTTCTTCCTTCTTTCATTCCTTCTTTTCTTTTCTCTTCTTTGTTCCTTCACTTCTATTTTTATTCCTTCCTCCTTTCCTTCTTCCCTCCTTCTTTTCTTTCCCTTCTTTTTTTGCTTCCCCTTCCCCTCACGTTACCTAACAGCAGTCAGTCTACCTCACAGTCACATGACAGAGGGTCACTTCACCTAGCAACTACTGGTCTGCTTTCTTCCCTTTCTCTTTTTCTGCTCTGGGCATGAAAGATGATGGGTTCTTGTTGCGATAATGAAGGTTATGTGTTCCAAGTCTGGTCCAGACCCATCAAGCTACGGAGGAGCCTTTGTGGTACAAACAACTAGAAACACACACACACACACATATATATATGTAGAGAGAGCGAGATAGGGACTCTACTACCATCCGGTGCTAGTTCAGTAACTGAGTCAGTTCTTTGCTTTTTGAACACAAGATCTGTCTGTTGCAAAATGCTAAACCACACCCCACACACAATGAATTGATGCCTAGAACATCGCTTGTCCTGATAGCCAGGTTTGTCGACGTGGTTCTCAGGCGGTTTGTGGCTCCAAAGGTCAGGTTTGTTGCCTCGGAAGAGGTGCTATACATTGCGACAGGGGTTTGGGGCAACACGATACCTAGAACTCTCTTTGAGGAGGAGTATTGCTTTGCAACAGTTCCAGGCAACTCAATAACTAGAACTCTTAGAGAAAAGGAATATCATTTTCTGACCGTTCAAGGCAACTCAATACCTCAAACTCTTAGAGAGGAGATCGCTTTATGACAATGCCAGACAACTTAATACCTAGAACTCTCAGAGAGTATTGCTCTATGACAGTTTCAG